ATTATAAAATATTTATCTTTGTGGGATTTAGTAATTTTGCTAAACATAATGATCTTTAATTTTATCCATGTGTTAAGGTGTTTGACAGACTTGTCTTTGTTTTTGAAGGATGCACAATATTATATTGTACTAATACACCAGAGTTTGTTTTTCCATCCCTCTATAGTCAGAATTTTAATTGTTTCCATATTTTTTCTATTATAGAAATTTCCTTCATAAACATATATGTTGATATGTCTATTCCTGTTTTGTATTTCATTTGTTTAGGGTATGTACCAAGTAGAAAGATAAACAGAGCATAAGGTATTGTATTTGCATTTGTTTCAGAAAGCACCATACTAGTTTCCATAGTGGTTGTACAATTCTACAATCCTACCAGCAGCACGTGAATGTTCCAGTCTCTCCACATCCTCTCCAGCATTTATTATTTTCTGATTTTTGTTGTTTTTAAATTTTTTAAGAGTGTCAATGTGAGGTGGTATCTCATTGTTTTAATTTGTATTTCTCTTACTGATAATGAACTAAAATATTTCTTCAAATGATTGTTGGCTGCCTCAATGTCATCTTTACTAAACTGCATATTCATATCTTGTCCCCATTTTGATAGGATTTTTTTATTAAGGTGTAGTTCTATAGATTTTTTTTTAATTAGCCCTTTATCTGATATATCACTATCAAATATTTTTTACAAGCTGTGGGTTGTCTTTTAACTCTTTTCATGAAGTTTTTGGTGTGCATAAACGAAATGTATTCTTAGAGGTTCCCAGTCCTCTATTTTGTCTTCTATAGTATTTTTCAGTATATTTGCTAGTGTATTTATGCCATGTATTAGGGCCCTTAAGTTTATTCCTACTTTTTAATTGATGGTCACTATGGTTCTAGAGTTTGTATTTAGGCTTTCAATCCATCTTTAATTTGTTTGTGAACATGCTGTGAGGTATGGGTCTCATTTCGTTCTTTTGCAGGTAAAAATCCATTTTCCCCCCAGTACTGTTTATTTAAAAAGCTGTATTTTCCCCAAATTAATGTGCTTTAGTCCTTTGTCAGGATCAGGTGTCTGTAGGTACTTTGTTGTATTTTGGGGTTATCAATGCTAATCCATTGGTCTTTATGTCTAATGTTGGACCAGTACCAAGCTGTTTTGATTACCATGGCTATATAATAGGTTTTTAAGTATTGCAATGAAAGGCCTCGTACTTTATTTTTGTTTTTTTATAGTGTTTTATTTAACCTGGATATCTCTCCTTTCCATATTTAGTTGACAATTACTTTTTCCATTTATTTGAAAAATTGTTCTGGGTTTTGGATCAGAATTGTATTGAATTTATTTGGTTTTTTTTTTGTGTGTGTGTGGTAATGTTGACATTTTGGCTATATTTAGTCTACCTATCCAGGAGCATGGGAAATGGTTCCATTTGTGTGTCTTTGGGTTTCTTCTAGGAGGATTTTGAAGTCTCCTTTGTATATGTATTTTATTTCTTTGGTAAGATTTATTCCTAAATATTTTGTCTTTTGGGTAGTTATTATAAATGGTATTGTTCTTTTAATATCCTCTCCAGTGTCATCTTCTTTAAGATACAAGGACCCACCGGATTAGGGTTTTCTATATAAGGACTATTTAATATGCAATAAAAAGTTTTGTTTCTTCAGTGCTACTGGGGATGACTTTAATATCTTTTTGATGCCTGATAGCTCCGGCTAAGACTTCCAGGACTATATTAGATATGAGTTGTGTTAATGAGAAACTCTATTCTGTAGGGGAAATGTGTTCAATTTCTCTCCATTAAATGAGATGCTAGCCATTGGTTTCACAGTTTGGCCTTTATTATGTTGAGTATTCATATTCCTATTTCACTGAGTGTTTTAATCAAGAATCTATGTTGAATTAATCACATGACATTTCTGCATCAATTGATATAACCATATGGCTCTTATCCTTTATTTTGTTTATGTGGTAGATTGCATTTTTTGTTTTTCTAAAATTAAACCATCTTTCTTTACCTGTATGCATTCCTCTTGATCTTGATTATTATTACGGTTTTTGATGCTTTGTTGAATTCTGATGCCTAGAATTTTGTAAGAATCTTGGTAGTACCCCCCTCCCCCAACAATAACAACAACAAAAATGATGATCATTTGTTTTTTTGATGTGAGGGGCATCTGGAATTTGTTTCACCAGGTCAGACTGTCAATTAAGCTTTCTATTTAGAGGTTCTGAAAAAGATTGCATAAGAGTGTGTGACAAAAAAGGCCTGATTTGTGGCAGACAGGGGACTGATTTTGCCATCATGACAGTATACCTATTTGATTTTAAAAAGTTAAATTTATAATGTAAAAAATCCATTTCTTTTTAGTATCCCTTCATATATTCACCAGGGATATTGGTCTATAGGTCACAAGGTTACACTACTTGCTTAATAAAATGAGTTTTGTGCTAAGAATCTGCGCTGTCTCTCCACCCTTAGTTCTAAGGAGTTCAAAAAATGCGTTTAAAAATGTGAACTAAAAAGCAGAAGCTTCACCCTAGACCAATTAAATGAGAATTTCTAGAGGTAAAATTTTGCTTGTTGATATGCAGATGATTGAAATATGTATCTATGATGGAGAAACTTTCCCTAGCTACATGGTTATTACTTGGAATGATTTTCCCCCTCCCTACCCCTGGGAAGGAAGCTTTGGTAATATTTGGAGACATTTTTGATTGTTGCACATGACTTACAACCGAGACCCTGTGAATGGAAACCGAGGATGCTTTTAATCATCTTACAATGCATAAGATAGCTTTTAAGGTGAATTTGATCCAGGATGCCCATTGTACTGAGGTTGAGAATACCTTTTTCTTTTACTGATTTTTTTCATGATAAGCAAAGCTACATGATTTTATTTTAATGGTTAATGCAGCTGAGTTCTCCTTTATCTTCAAACGCCACTACGGTGTGTCAGGGAACATTTATTGACTCTGCCTTAAAAAAAATTATTATAAAGAAATCATTTTATTGAGGGTTCTTATAGCTCTTATAACAATCCATATATTAATTGTATCAAGCACCTTTGTACATATGTTGCCTTCACTATTTTCAAAATATTTTCTTTCTGTTTGAGCCCTTGGTATCAGCTCCTTTTTTCCCTCCCTCCCCCACTCTCCCACCCTCATGGGCCCCTAATAAATTATAAAGTATTATTATTTTCTTATACCACCTGCTGGTCATCCCCCTGCAGAGGAGGGAGAATTGTGAGTCATTGTAGTCGGTTCCCCATTTCTCCCCCTTTTCACCCCACTTTTCCCCTACCCTCATGGTATTGCTATTGCCAATGCTCTTTCTGAGGTGTTTATCTGTCCTGGATTCCATGTGTCAAGTGCCCTTATCTGTACCGCTGTATATGCTCTGCTCTAGTCGGATTTGTAAGGTAGAACTGGGATCATGATGGGGCATTAAAGAAATAGAGGATTTTTGTGTGTTCTGTCAGTGCTGTGCTGAACCTGACTGTCTCGTACTCTCCTTATGACACTTCCTGTGAGGGGATGTCCAATTATCTACATATGGGCTTAAGGTCTCCACTCCGACCCCCATCATTTGCATTGATATATTTGTTTGTTTGGGGTCTTCTTATGCCCAATACCTTATCCTGTAGACACTAAGTGATCACACAAGCTGGTGTGCTTCTTCCATGTGGGCTTTGTTGCTTCCCTGCTAGATAGCCATTTGTTTAACTTCAGGCCTTTATGACCCCAGACCTTACACCTTTTAATAGTCAGGCACCATCAGCTTACTTCACCACATTTGCTTATGCACCTGTTTTGACTTTAGCGTGTCAGGAAGGTGAGCATCCCAGAAAGCCAGGTTGTTAGAACAAAGTGTTCTTACGTTGAGGGAGGGCTTGGGTAGAGGACCCAATTCCCATCTACTACCTTAATGCTTAACATTTAAATATATAGACCTATATCTCTATTGTTATATATCAATGTATTTACATGTGTATGCCTAAATTTATGCTTCTATAAATGTCTTTTGCCTCCTCATTCTTTCCTCTATTTCTTTTCACTTTCCTCTTGTTCCACTATCATGTTCAACCTTCATTCAACTCTCGGTACTTTCTCTTAGCTGCACTTGATCAAACCCTGTCAGGCATTCTATGCCCTCCTTGCCATCGATTTTAGATCTCTTATCACTGGGTTTGTTGGTTCCCCGCTCCTTTCTACCACCTCCTCCTCTCCCATGGCCTTCTAGAGCTGTCGGCCCGTTGTTTTCTCCTGGGGTTGGTTACCCTATCTAGCCTATGTAGATAGACACAAGAAAAAGAAAACAGAGGGGAAAAAAGGAAACAAACAAAAAACACAACAGCACACCCAAAAAATCCAACCCCTATAAATAGTTGCATGTCTGTCTGCATGTTTTCCAAATCTAGTCTGGTGAAGTACCACACTCTGCCCACTGATTCCAAGGTGTATTTTCAGGATTCTCGGGTACTTCATTGTTTTGCTCCCCTTGTTGTTCTGTTGTGCTCCCTTAGTGTTTCGCTCCAGTGTGGGGGGTTGGGACTGGGCACAATTCCCACTCTGCTTCCAGTGCTGTCCCCTGTAGCTCTGTGGGTCAGTGAGGGGGAGTCAGGTCTCATGCTTTGGTTTTATTATAACACCTTCATTTCATGAGTTTTTCAGTAAGAGCTCCTTCATGGGTGCCAAAGAGGGAGGTGAAAGGGAGTATAGAAGGGAATTTGAATGTTCTAACTAAGAAGTATCAGGGCTCCCCAGATCTTCCTCACTGCTATTCTTAACTTGCTGAGTATGAGTCCAGCCTGACAATTAGGGGTAACAAATATGAAAAGCTGGGGGGAAATCGGGTCTTGGCATAGATCATTGTCTCCATTAAAGTTTCAGTTAACATCTGGATATTTTGTGTTTTGGGCAACAAAGGTACAGTGTTGCTCTTTTTATCATTATTAAATATATTTGTCTATTTTAGAGGAAGCATATCGATCTTCTTGCCCTGTTTTTACAGTATAAAGAAAAAAGCACAACATGAGTTGGCAATCCAAAGTTTGTTCAAACTGAAGGCAGAAAATAATGAACTGATCAAAGAGCTATACAAAGAAGCTTACAACGTTGGTACTCTTTTCCACCTCACCAAATTTAACACTGATGAATTAGAAGGGAAAATAGCAGAAGTGAGAAGAAGATTCAAGGTTATGTTTCTTTGTGTTCTTCTTAGTTGTGAAAAAAAATTAACCCACATTTTACTGATGCAATCTTGAGATAGCTTAAGGTATAGTGTTTAAAACTTAAATTTTCCTTTTTGATAAATCAAAAGAAAGTTCCCCTTTCTCTACAACCCAGCTTGAACAGAAAAGAATTCGGGGATTGGGAGGGATGGAGCTAAGGGATGGTCCATGGAGCGAATCAGCTAGTCTCTTCTTTTTATGATCACTGACCAGAAACCACCTGGGATATCAGGAGGTGCAGTGTTCAGACTCATCTTGCATATTTAACACATTTGATGGGTTTCGCTTGGGCTGCTCTCTTCAAAGTCAGCCATGCAAATCCATCAACTCCTCCAGAGGATAATCATGCGACTGTCTGCTCCTGTTGAGATTTACAGTCCTAGACACTCTAGATCGGATTTCATTATGAACTGGAATTGATCTTGTAGCAGTGGGCTATGAGTTCTAGTGACACAATGATTAAGCACTCAACTGCTGCCTGACATGTTGTGGGTCCAACATAGTAGGCGCTCAGTGGGAGAAAGATGTGGCAGTTCACTTCAGTGAAGATTTATCATCTTAAGACTTGCAGTTCAACTCTGTCTTATTGAGTCAACTTGACAGCATGCAATGTTTCATGATCATTGATCATGTTTTCAGGAGAGACCAGTCTGCAAGGGGACGTCTTTGCTCTTCAATACTTTAAACAGATTTGTGCAGCACATTTTCCCATGCAACATTTGCTTGATTTTTTCGCTGCTGTTTCTGTAAGCATTAATTGCAGATTCAGAAAGAAGAAGTAAATCTTTGACAACTTCAAACTTTTCTCCATTAATCATGATGTTGTCTATTGGTTCTGTTGTGAGTATTTTGGCTTCTTTTACATCGAGTTACTGTCCCACTTGTTTGCCAGTTTGTCATACTGTACTGTAGTGGCTGGCATATTGCTGTGAGACTGAAAGCTATATTACTGGTATTTCAAATACCAGTGAGGTCACTTAGAGCAATAGGTTTTAGCAGAGCTTCCAGGCAAGAATAGGATACTGTGAAGTAATAGGCTGTTCACTTCTGAGGAATTTGCCACTGAAAACCTTATGAATAATATCAGAATATTCTCAGATACACTGAACACTTTATGAATTACAGCCTTCAGCATACATTATGATATATAAACTGAAAGAAGTAAGGGAAAAATTCAAACTTTGAGTTACAAGATTGAAAGTTCTATGGGTAAAATATTGAATCAAACATCAAAAGTAGATATGAGGAATACACAGAGTCACTGTACCACAAAGAACTTGTCAACATTCAAGCATTCCAAGGGGTAGCATATGAGCAAGAACCAATAGTACTGAAAGAAGAAGTTCAAGCTGCACTGAAAACATTAGCCAAAAACAAGGCTCCAGGAATTAATGTAATATAAATTGAAATGTTTTAAGATGCTGATTCAGCTATTGCAGGAAATTTGGAAGACAGCTAATTGGCCAAATGACTGGAAGAGATCCATATTTGCACCCATTATGTACAAATTACAGAACAATTTCATTGATATTACATACAAGTAAAATTTTACTCAGCGTCACCCAACAATGGTTGTAGCGGAAATGAACAGAGAGCTGCCAGAGTTTCAGGCCAGGTTCAGAAGAGGATGTGGAATGAGGGATCTCATTGCTGATGTCCGATGGGTCTTGGCTGAAAGCAGAGAATACCGGAAAGATGTTTATTTGTGTTTTATTGATGATGCCAAGGCATTCATCTGTTTGGACCATAACAAGGCCTTGAGAAGGTAGGGAATCCCATCACACTACATTGTGACCACACAAACTTGTGTATGGATTGAGGCAGTTGTGCAGGAAAGGTTTATGTCAGGCTTGCAGCCTCTCTCCAAACTTATTCAAACTGCATGCTGACAAATAATCTGAAAAGTTTTACCAAATGAAGAGAATCAGACATCAGGGTTGGAGGAAGGTTTATTAACAATAAGCAGATGATAGAACATCACTTGCTGAAAGTCAGGGGGACTTGAAGCACTTGGTGAAGCCTAAGGACTCTAGCCTTCAGTATGGATCACAGTCCAATATAAAGAAGACCAGTGTCCTCACCAATGGACCAGTAAGTAACATCCCAAGAAATTCAGAAAATACTGACGTTGTCAAATATTTTGTCTCACCTGGATCGATAATAAATGTTCATGGAACCAGCAGTCTAGAAATCAAATGATGCAGCAGATTTGAGTGAATCTGCTGAACAAGACCTCTTCATAGTTTTGAAAAGGCAAGCGTTTACTTTGAGGACCAAGGTGAGCCTGACCCAAACCATGGTATTTTCAGTTGCATCATAAGAATGTGAAAGTTGGACATCGAACAAGGAAGACTGAGGAAGAATCAATGCATTTGAATTGCGGTGCTGGTGAAGAATACTGGAAGCATCCGTGTCTGCCAAAAGTACAAACACATCTGTATTGAAGAAGTACAGACAGAATGCTCCTTAGAAGCAAGGATGATGAGACTTTATCTCAGGTACTTCGGACATGTTGGGACAAACCACTCCCTGGAGAAGGATACTATGCTTAGTAAAGTAGTAGGGCATCAAAAACGAGGAAGACTTCAAGCAATATGCATTCACACAGTGGCTGGATTTAAATCCTTTCCTGATTTAAGTCCTGCACAACTGCCTCAAACCATATACAAGTTTGTATGGTCACAATGTAGTGTGATGGGATTCCCTACCTTCTCAAGGCCTTGTTATGGTCCAAACAGTTGAATGCCCTGGCATCGTCAATAAAACACAAATGAACATCTTTCCGGTATTCTCTGCTTTTAGCCAGGACCCATCGGACATCAGCAATGCTATCCCTCATCCCACATCCTCTTCTCAGCCTGGCCTAAGACTCTGGGAGCTCCCTGTTCATGTACTCTTACAACCATTGTTGTACTTGCATGTAATATCAATGAAATTGTTCTATAATTTGTACATAATGGGTACAAATAGGTATCTCTTAAAAGTCACTTGGCTAATTAACTGCAGCTATGAGGTGAAAAATAATAACAATTTTGAATATGGTAGGAGTGCACACTGTTTTGTTCTGTTTTACATCGGCTGTCTATGAGTTGGAACCTACTCAAAGGCACCTAACAACAACATATACATTTCATGGTGTGTATACCTATGTTAGGACTAATATCTATATTCATATATAGATATAGATATTTCTGAGACTATCTTTTTATGGGAGTAGAAAAACCCACCATTTTCCAGTGGTGTGGCTGTTGGTTTGGACAGAGGAGTTCAATTAGCATCCCAAAGTATAACCCACTATGCCACTGGGGCTTGACTGTGTGCTTTTTCTCGATAGCTAGACAGACAGATAGATACATATCTTGGTTGAAAGCAAAGAATACCAGAATGATGTTTGGTGATCTGGATCTATTTATATGAATAAATATATATATAGAAATAGAGAAATATACAGAAATCTATCTATCTATCTATCTATCTATCTATCTATCTATCTATCTATCTATCTATCTATCTATCTATCTAAATACATGGCATAGCTCTTCTGTTTATATACCTATCAAATGACTGTGTGGCAACATGCAAAAAAAAGTGTAGAGGACTCTGAAATAAAGACTGGGCAGTATGGCATTCTGTGGGTATAAAGTGAGCTCTCACAGTAGCAGGAACACAGGAATAACTACCAAGAAAACAGACCTGAAATCAGAGGCATCCAAAAGTTCCTGCCAGGAGAGGCAGCGGTGGTGTAGCGAGCACTCACAGAGTAGCAGGCTTCCTGGTTCATGGAGTGAGTGAAGCTGAGGGCCTTGGGCAGGAGGATGACTTGGAGAAGGCATTTATCAGTGCTGAGGCAGCTTTGCAGCACTTTGCCAAGTGACTAAGAGGCCTAGGACCAGAGAGAAAGAGAGACAGGCTGAGAGGAGGTATTGTGGACCAAAGCTGTATCTTTTATATTTTCTGATCCTGACTTGTTTCAGCCTGCTAACTATAGTAATAAACCTCAATAACTTTGACTCTGTCTGTGAGTTCTATGGGACCACTGTAACATATGTTGGATCCTAGCCCTTTAGCATTCTCTGGGAGGGACAGGTGCTGTCAAACTAGGGTCAAGAAGCTCAGAAGGGACAGGCATGTCTCAGCTTTGCCACTTGGACTGGTGTGAAGCTGGATTCTTTTTCCTCATTTTGTATGTAGCCTAAGAAGGCCTGGGTGATCCCCATTACATTCCTTCATATATGTGACCACTCCCTGCCCCCAAACAAAACAAATCTAAACAACAACAACAAAAAACCCCCAACTCACTGCCATTGTGTCAATGCTGACTCTTAGTGACTCTATAGATAGAAATATGTTTGAATTTATTTTGAGAGAGACCAAATTGGACTGTGGGTAAGTCCGGGTAGACTAGAGAAAAAATTCATGGACACTCATATGTGTATAAGAAAGAGATTTATATACAAGAGCAATTGAATATTGAGAAAATATCCCAGCCCAGTCCAGATAAAGTCCATAAGTCCAATATTAGCCCATATGTCTGATACCAATCTATAAGTTTGTCTTTGGGCTCACGCAATACATGCAATGATGCTGAATGCAGGGATATCACAGGCCAGTGGGTGGGAAGTCTTGTGGATCCAGTGATGTGGTAAGCATCTCAGTGCTGGCAGGACTGCTCCAGCTCAGGGCACTAGGGTAGTTCCATGTGCCTTGTCAGCTGCACTGTCTCTCAGGGAGTGAGTGTGTGTCCTGCCCCCAGCTAGCTATTTATCTCCTTAGCGCCTCCAAATAAGGTCATCAAGCTGGGACCTGACTGGCAGCCTAAACTCCACCCCTTCACTCTTAGTCCTCAAATTGACAATGGGTTATGTAACTACCACAGGCTGCCACCTGAACTTTTTGGTAAAGTCCCTTTAATCCAAAAAGTATCTTTAAAAAGCACTGCCGGAGAGTGCCCTGCTCACTAAATC